CAAGGTTCACTCTCAAACCAACGCGATGTGCTGCGCACGGGCGGGAGCCTCACTCACCCGCCCATGTTTTCGCACCCAGGGCAGGGTGGTCAGTTTGCCAGATAGGTGAGGATGGAGATTTTGTTCGGGGCATCTTCGGGGACCTGCCTGGTTTTCTGCTTCAGAGTGTTGTATTGAGCACTACGGCCTGCCTCAGGCCCTGGAACACCTTGATCCCGAGGATGAGAAGGATCGGTCAGAGAGTTGTCAGTTGCACGTCGACTGCGCCGCCCTTTTTGCAGGACCAGCAGACCCAACATCTGCGACTAGCGGACGTTCGCCGTTGGCAGAGGTGTGGAACGTGATCTACGCAAGGCAGTACCCTCTTTGGACCTCAAGAAGGTGAAGGCCAATTTTGGAGACTCCGTATCAGGCAGGGCCCGTATTCATAAGTTAGGAAACGATCGTGCCGATCAGTACGCGAATAGTGGAGCTAAGCTGCACCCAGAAATGGCCCAGCACATCGTGAAGTACGAGCTGGCCCTGAGTAGTTGGCAGACCTTAGCACTGGGCATGGCCCAGGTTTTCGAAGACCTCCCGGATGCTGTTTGGGAAGCTGCAGCGTCAGTTTCGGACCCCAGACAGTTGGCCCTCCCCAGCGGCCGTAAGCCTCATTGTGTTCGTTGGAATGGGTACCGCTGGCGGTGTCTAGAGTGTGCCCGTTGTTTTTCCAGTGAGGTTCCCAAAGGGTCCTGTGCCGCCCCGGCCCTTGCCATGCGTCCGTCTTTTTCGGCCGAGGTGACCCCGCCCTACAGCTTGCACGTTTGCAAAATCCAGTCGAGTGATTTGCCCGTCGTTCTGTGTGTTAGATGCGGGGCGTATGCGTCTGGGACCCCCAAAGGGGTTCCTAAAGGGTTGTCCCAAAATCTTTGTACAGCAGCGTAGACAACGAACTCCCCAGGGCGGACCTACCTTGGCCGAGGGGGCTGATGGTCTCCTCGCCCTGGCCCCTGAGACTCGCGCCTCATGGGGAGGCGGGGTGGTGGCACAGGCTTGTCTGAGGGCGACAGCGGCCCCGCCTCGCCCTTGGTGCCTGGAAGGCGGGTTCTGGCCCTTGTGGCTCCGTCGTTCAGGTGCTGGTGGTGGGGTTGGGGGTGTTGTGTCCCTCCTCCTTTCCAGCAGCCCCTTCAATCAGATATAGGTGGGAATCAAGAGTAAGCCACTGAAAAAGGACGAGGAGGAGAAGGATGATGATGATGATGATGATGATGATGATGATGATGATGATGATGATGATGATGATGATGATGATGATGATGATGATGATGATGATCATGATCATGATGATGATCCTGATGATGCTGATGATGATTGTGATGATGATGACGATGATGATGCTGATGCTGCTGCTGCTGATGATGATGATGATGATGATGATGAGGAGGAGGAGGAGGAGGAGGAGGAGGAGGAGGAATAGGTGGAGGGGGAGGAGGAAGAGGAGGAGAAACAAGATGACGAGAGGGCGAGCATCATGTAGGACGACGCCTTCGAATCCATAAACGCATAAGCAGAAGTTCGCCGTCGTCGTTCTGGCCGCCGCCGCCGCCGCCGCCGCCGCCGCCGCCGCCGTGGCTTCCGAGCGCCCTCAGGTGTTGAACGCGGTCTGGCGGCTGGCGGCCCACGACCCCGAGCCGCAGCCCGCGCCCCCGGACCCGACCCGGCGCAAGAGGCCGGCGGGCGCTCCCGCCGCAGCACAGTCGGCTCTGATCAGTAGGTCCACCCCGCCAAGTCAAGGGTACCCTCCTCCTCCTCCCCCTCCTTTTCCTCCTCATCCTGCTCCTCCTCCTCCTTCCTCCTTTTCTTCCTCTTCCTCTTCCTCTCCCTTTCCTCCTCCTCTCCTCCTTCTCCGCCTCCTCCTCCTCCTCTCCTCCTCTTTCTCTTCCTCCTCCTCCCCTCCTCCTGCGGCGGCAGCAGCTGGCGGCGCGGAGGCGGCGCCAGTCGCGCGGGCCTTGTGGATGGCCTCGTGACCCATGCCTCTTATGTTTCTGTGGCAGTGTGGCCCTCGGAAGAGTCCTGTGTACTCTCGCGTGTCCTATCCAGCCAAGTCCGAGGGTGCGTTAGGGCGCGTCGATCTAGGGAGCAAGACGAGCTCTGACACCGAGTCGCTACTGCAATCAACGCGCCTAGTGAGGACGCGCGCCTTCATCTGGGGTGCTTTTTGTCCTTGCTTCTGCGGCCTGTCCTTTGCCGTTTTCATTGGTCGCCCGCCGCCCAAAACATCCTAACTTCGGCCTCCAAGGGTCTTGCGTCCTTGCCACCCCTCCTGAGTTTTAACTGTAGATATGAGGCACTCCAGGAAAGGCCTCACCTTAGGGATCGGAGGATGCAGCAGATCTCTTCCTCGGCGGACGGCCAGTGGAGGCCGGCGCACGCAGAGTGAGGGCGGCTCCGCGGGCTGAAACCGGCGGAAGTTTTTGGGTTCAGGATTTCAAGAATCTTCGGCCACGCGCAGAAGGGGGGTAGGGGGAGGGGGGAAGGCTTCTTAGAAACACCCTCTTTCTTAGAAGGCGCGAGCATTGTCTGTAGATGTGAGGCAGGTGCCTTTAAGGAGCAGCCTTCTTCTAGGGAGGCGGAGGAGGAGGAGGAGGAGGAGGAGGAGGAGGAGGAGGAGGAGGAGGACGAGGAGGAGGAGGAGGCGGGCGCCGTGAGAGCGATCCTCGATCAGCCGCTCCGCTCGGCCCCAGTCCGCTGCGCGCAGCGGGCAGGGGCGGCGTGGAAGGTCGGGGTGGACGCGTCCGCCTGCCTGGTGATCGGTGGCGGCCCGCTGTCTGACGAGGAGGGGGTCGGGCTCGACGTGGTGCAGGCGAGCGAGGGCCGGTGCAGGAGCTGCAGGTGGACCGCGGCGGGACAGTGAGCTGCGCGCACGTGGGCGGTCGGGTCGGCCTGCCGGACGAAGAGGCCGATGGCAGGTGGCGCGGCTCCCTCGCAGCAGCCGCGGTGCCGAGCTTGCGGCTCACGCGCGACGGGGCGCGATCCCGCGGATGCGCGGTCGCGCGGAGACGCTCCGCGCGGGGCACCCGCGCAGTGCGCGCCGCGTGTCCGCGGGGTCGCGGCTCAGGGGCCTGGCCCGCGAGGCCGCGGATACAGGCATGCTTTTCGCCCACGAGCGGCGCCGAGGCCGTGGACGTCCCTTGCGCCCATGGAGGCCTGCGGGGGCCCTGCGGAGGTCCGTCTGGAGCTCGCGGCGCACGCGCGGTGCCCGGCGAGGGGGAACAGGCGGCTGCTGCTGGGGGCGCCGGCTGCGCCAAAGGTCCCCAGAACGCGTGCGCTACGCCGCCTGGGCCGGGCACGGCGGCGGTGCGCTCCAGAGCGCCCTGCTGGGCTGGCGTGTGCGAGATCCCTGCCATGACCTGCGGGGTCGGCGCGTGCCTTTTCCCTCCGCGCACGAGCGCGGCGAGGGGGGATGCTTGTGCCTGAAGCGGCGAAGACGCAGTCATCCGGAAACGGGGGGGAGGAGGGAGGAAGATGCGGAGCAACAGCTGCAGGGAGGGAGGAAGGGAGGGCGGGAGGGACACAGGAGGAGCAGGAGGAGCAGGGGGAAGAGAAGGAGGAGGAGGAGGAGGAGGAGGAGGAGGAGGAGGAGGAGGGAGGAGGAGGAGGAGGAGAGAGGAGGAGATGGGAGGCTTGAGGTTTGAGACTCGACGATCTAGGCTCCTGGACGTTTTCCCCTTCTTTATAGCTCTGGAACTCTGAGGGCCTCTGTATAGCTCGCTGGACCATTTGAGACGTATGACTACCTCCAGAGGTCTTGAGGGGATGTGGGGGAAGATGGAGGGAGGATAACCACATCCTCGTCTTCCTCCCTCTTCCTCCCTCCCTCTTCCATCCCTTATAACTAAGTCCTCCCTGTCGCACCGCCTGGCGTGTTGGTATAGCGGGCCAGGCGTTTCGCCTTAGACTTCCCCACCACTTCTGATCCTGCAGCTTGAAATTTGTAACGCATTCAAAGATTGAGGACGGGTCGGTTTCAACACATGACTCTCGCCTAAGCGCCGCGCACATTCGTCTTTGAATCTTGCGACAGCTTCAAGGATGATCGTTTTCAAAGTGTGGCTGTCGCCTTTGCGCCGCGCACATTCGTCTTACCAGCTTGCAGCAGGTTGAAGGATGCATGGAGGGTGGTTTTCGAAATATGGCTCTCGCCTCTGCGCCGCTCACACTCGTTTGAAAAGTGAGAAGCAGTTTCAAACATGGAGTGCTGTTCCTTTTCAGGAACAATGCGCTCGCTTGAGCGCCGCGCGATTTCGTCTTAAACGTTGGCACCAGTTGTTTTGGATGTGCAGAGGTGGCGTCCCAGCAGTGTTTCTCTGGCGAGACTTGTGAGGACGCACCAGCCTTCTTGATTCTCTATGTTCAAGTCTCTGGAATGGTATTCTGGCACGAATTAACATTGTCTGGGCGTAACAGTGACTTTGCTTCGAGGCGTTGAGATCCCAGGAAATATGACATGGCACGAATGAGTCTTATCAGACGGGGGGGTCTTTCCGCGGGGCACTTCCCGCAAGAAAACTTAATTCTTGTAGGGACTTATGAATGGCGAGCCTGGAGGGAGGGTTTAAACAACATTGCCTATGCGTCTTGGATCTACACAGGTCTTGCGGGCCAGACTGATCTTGTTAGTACGCGGCCCCAGAGGTCCTGACCCCCCTCCCCGGAGGGCAGCCCTCCGTTCCGGACTCCCTCTTGATGGCCTACCGGGCCCGAGAAAGGGCCCTGGAGGCCGGAATCGCGAGAGACTGCGCCCAGATGGCGACAATCTTCGGAGAAGGACACAGCGCCCAGACCACAGACGCCCAGACGGCGAGAAGCACAGTCAGGGACCTGGGCTGGCGACGACGCAGGCGGCGAAGGCGGCGACGGCGATCGCGTCGACGGCGGCGGTGGCGACTACGCCAGCCTTCGCGACGATCGACGAAGACGGCGACGACCGCGCCGACGGCGGCGGTATGGCGGCGGCGCAGGCGGCGGCTGCTCCTGTGCCTGCCGGCCGCGGTGGCCGTCTCGCCCCCAGCCGTCGGCCCCGTCGGAGTCGCCGCCGTCGTCGGCGTCGTCGTCGGCGTCGCCGCCGCGAGCCTCCAGGAAGCGCCTCGCCGTCGAGGATCGAAGGAGTTGTCAGCTCTTCCTCGGCGGAAGGCGGCGGATGGCCAGCGGAAGGCGCCGGCGAAAGCCGGCGGAGGGCCGGCGGAAGCCGGCGGGCGTGAAAACAGTTGCCTTCGAAGAGGTGGCACAATGTTGGGGTTCAGGGTACCCCGCCGATACTGTAGGGGCCTTTTGGTGGGCGTGTCGCGCCGCTGGTTCTGTGGCGCGACGCGCTAATGGAGGATGATGATTAAAAAATGACCGGGGGTCGTGTTCACGCGGCGGCGCCCGGGATGATGATTAGAAAAAACCGGCCCCGGGCTGGGAAACTATTTTTTTTAATCGTCCCCCCCCCGCCGTCCTCGGGCGCGTGCCCCCCCGGGTGACGAAACACCGCACAGGCGCGCCCTGCTTCTGAGCGTTCCCCCCCGGTGTGGGAAACTATTTTTTTAATCGTTCCCCCCTCCTTTCTTCCTTAATCGTCATCCCACATTATTCATATCACCATGCCCAGGCGTCAAGGTCCCGAGCCTGTTCCCCCCTCCGGCCCTGCGGAGCGTAGCGACACGCTGTAGCATGGCGCAGGGGCCGCCGCTGCGGCGACACGCTAAGCAGCAACATACATTCCCGAGCGTCTTATTTTCATCACCTTGGACGTTGTTCCTCGATGTCGGCCTCTGGGGCAAAACATATACCGTCGCCGTCGCCGTCGGCGTCGGCGTCGGCGTCGGCGTCGGCGGCGTCTTCGTCTTCCGTCGTTTGTCGTCGGTCGTCGTCGCCGCTGGGGTCTGTGTCGACGTCATCGTCGTCGTCGTCGTCGTCGTCGTCGTCGTCGTCGGCGTCAGCGTCAGCGTCAGCGTCGTCGTCGGGGGGGGCAGGAGACATGCTGGGGCGCGCAAGAAGAGGAAGCGCATACCTTCGGGAGGCAGCGGGCTCCTCGATCGGCGGTGGACTTTACGACGTGAGGGATGCTTCTGCAGGGAGCTCTCGGAAACAGAGCTCAGGCGTGCCAGAGGAAGAGGGAGGGAGGAATATAGGGAGGGAGGACGAGGTCTGCCAGCGCGCGCTGGTGGCACCCCTGATAACCTTTACGCGCCACCCATCGGGGGCAGCCATGTCATATAATGTGAACACGAGGGTCCACGAGGACGCCAAAGAAAAACGACGACGACAGAGGACGACGATGGACGACAACGACGACGACGGACGACGGACGCCGATGAACAAACGGACAGCCACAGGGGGCGACGGACGGCGAACGACACGGTCGGCGATCACGACGACGACAACGGCCAACGACGACGACGACGACGAGTGACGAAGGGAGACGACGGCCGGCGGACGAAGACGAACGACGATGACGTCGGACGACGACGCCGACGTACAACTACGACGACGACCAGCGATGGCGGACGACGGTCGACGGACAGCAGCCTCCGCCCGTCGGACCACGGACGGCGGCCACGACGGCGACGGCGACGGCGGCCGACGGAGGAGGACGGCGGCGGACGGCAGCGGACGGCCGTCGGACGATGGACGACGATGGGCGGCTGACGAAAACTGTCGCGGGCGGCGGCGAGGACGACGGCGACGATGATGAAGGCGGCCACGGGTGATGGACGACGGGCGATGGACCACTGACGTGATGAGGATGAGGAGGAGGATGAGGAGGATGAGGATGAGGATGAGGATGAGGATGATGGTGATGCTGATGGTGCTGATGATGATGCTGATGTTGATGATGAGGATGATGAGGATGATGGTGATGACGATGGTGATGACGATGGTGATGATGTCACTGTTGATGCTGATGATGATGATGCTGATCATGATGAAACTGCTGATGCTGATGAGGATGATGACGATGATGATGAAGATGCTGATGATGATGCTGATCATGATGATGATGATGATGATGATGATGATGATGGTGATGGTGGTGATGATGATGATGATGCTGATGATGATGATGATGATGATTATTGTGATGATGATGCTGATGGCGGTGGCGGTGATGATGATCATGATGACGTCGTCGACCGACCGACGACGACGATGACGAAGATGACGATGACTATGACGACGACGACCACGACGATGACGACGACGGACGACAGACGACAACGACGTGGGACCTCGGCGTTCTCTGGAGGCCTCTGGAGAGCCTCGGAGGCCTCCTCGCGAGGACAGCCCAAGCCCGAGGCCGACGGAGGCCCCAAGAGCCCCCCAGAGGTAAACAGGAAAGGCCCCGACGACGCCCACAACCCTTCTGGAATAGTCACTTCGTGTACAGTGGGGGCCCATGCTACAAAACACCCTGTTTGCCTCCAGGGTGCTCTGGGTTTGTTGGGTTTCGATGGTTTTGCTATGGAAGGCGTGACGTTCCCATACCAAGAATCAGTGGACGCCCTGGGGTCTCAGGGTTGGGTTTCTTGTGGAAGGGTTCTTGTGGACTGGCCTCCACTGTATGTGTCTCTTCTGGTCCCTGCTGATGCTGTTGCCTGCTCTGGCCCCCTCCCAGACGAGGAAGAGATACCCATACTTCTACCCTTTCCTCGTCTTCCCCTTCTTGGGCCTCCTCGGAGGCTCTTGTCGTCACCGCTGGATTCGCCTCGAAATTCTGGTCAGAACGCACCCTGGGACAGGTCTGGGGAGTAGCGTTGTCTGTACCTTTGTGTTTCCTCACCCTCTGTCCGTAGGTACATCTCTCTCTCTATATATATATATATATATCATACAGGCTCAGGGGGCCACCTTCTGCTGTGCTACATCCCAGAGATCATTACTAGTAGCGAGAGGGCTTTGGAAGAAAATATTCACTGTCAGACCAGCGCCAGAGTGTGCGCTGTATTGGCCGCGGAACGTGTGTTCCGAGCTCCCTCGCAGAAAGCTTGCTCGCGGATCGAACCTACCTGACGAACACTCCTGTGCCGAGTCGGACAGGTTCCGATACAACTCATGTACCGCACGACGGCTGCCCAAGGGACTGCTGCTGCCTCGAGTTCTCGCGGCAATGCCGCACCACAACGACATAGTGCTCGACTGCGTCGTGGCCGCAATGGCAGCCGTCCCGCGGCAGCTGCCCAGCTGCCGACACCGCCGACGAGAATGAGGACTGGCACCAGGAGGGCGAGCAGGACGATGATGGGGAATAAGTGGAGGCTGAAGAGGCAGAAGCACCCTCCGAAATCCCCCCGGATCCAGAAGAGTTCCGGTGCGCGCGGTGAGCGCCGTACTTGGCGAGGAGGACCCTGTCCAGCTTCGCCTCCCCTGGAGGCCAGGATCAGTAGTTATACAAGCACCCGAGGTGCTACCAGAAGTGTGCGCGTACAGTTCGATATGGAAGGGCAGGGCTCGACGCCACGAAGCAATGGCCGAGCTAGCCCTGGACCGTTCGGACGTCATCATGGGCGAGGGTGCGGAGATGACCGACTCGCTGGAATAGGCGCGGCTCGTTTCACAAGATGGCATCGAGTTGATTGAGTCCCCTCGCAGTGTTTGACGAGCAGCAGATCCTCCAGGTAGGCGACCCCATGGGGGAGTATGAAGAAGCAGAAGGATTGTAGGGCGAGTTGCTCGCCGCCTGCGTTGCACACCTCAGAGATCTAGACTTGAGATTGGCCCTGCGCCGGCTCGCCCCCAGCGTGGCAGAGTAAAGGGCGGTGATCGCGTCATTTCCGTTCCTGGCGATGTTGCGGCCAAGAATGTCAGGTCTGTCCCGACAGCTCATCAGATAGCTGATGGCATGGCTAAGTCGGATGCTAAGTTTCGTGAGGCACTGGCCGAGTTTCTGGCCAATCGGGCAAGGTCGCTGGCGGGGAAAAATTGCGCGGTGGAGACGGTCTCCATCAGAGGACGCGAATGAAGGCTTTCATTTGCACGTGCTGGGGGTCGCGTTTCACTCCCGCTCGCTTGGTTTTGTCCAAGAGTTTCTTCCATATGGTATTTTCATATCTGTCGCTGCGCGACCGGAGCGGATGTCGTATTTGATCAGCAGTTGCTACCGCCGCCGTGCCGAGATTCTTTTATTACATGTACATCGCTTCGTGATTTGAAGCGATTGCGTTCGCACCGAGTCCGTGCTGTCGCTACGTTTTGCTGAGTAGGCTCTTGCCACTTACGTTTCACAGTATGACCAGAGGTAACTCCAGGAGTGCAATCATCATGTCGCCAATGTGTTTACAGGGTTTACAGGGTCCCTACTGATGCTGTTGCCTGCTCTGACCCCTCCTGTCTGTGTATATGTATTTATATATATATATATATCATACTGGCTCAGGGGTCCCCCAACTGCTGTGCTACAGTCCAGAGATCAGTTGTAGCGACACGGTCCTGGCATAACATCTCCTTTGTCAGACTAGCGCCAGATTGTGCGCTGTAACTTTGCCCTTTACCCTGGAGTCGATCCTTGATCCTCGATCCTCGGTCCTCGAAGACGTCCGGAAGCCGCCGTCCTCGATCTTCGAAGACCCTCGGTCCTCGATGGTCCACATTGAGCCTCGAATGGCCCAGGCCCGCGTGCCCCCCCCCCAAGGTCTCGACCCATTCCCCGGGGGCTTGCTGTTCCTCCGAGTCGTTCTTGTCCTTTGATTTCCCGAGGGCCCCCGGAGGCCGAAACGCCGCACACCCTACCATCGTGTTTTTCCCCTGGCGCGAGGGGCCCTGGGAAGCGGCAGCAGCAGAAGGACCTCCCCGCCGCGCCGCCGGGCGTGGGAGTCGACTACGACGATGACGACGACGATGACGTCGAAGATGATGTCGGCGACCACGGGCGATGGACGACCGACGACGGACGCCTGACATGATGATGGTGATGGTAATGCCGATCGTGTTGAAGATCATGCTCGTGATGATGACGGCGATGGCGATGATGGTGGTGGTGAGATTGCTACGATGACGACGATGGAGGACGACTGACGACGACGGACAACGACGGGCGACGACGGCAGCGACGACCGACGTCGACGATTGTCGACGAGGCGGCAGCACCCAGAGGAAGGCCCCCCCTGCCGGGCGCCGAGGCCATGGTGTTGAGCATGCAGCCCGACCTGTTGCCGGGCAGCGCGCGCGGGCCTTTGATCGGGGGGGTTCTTGGCCCGAGGTGCGATGGTCGAGGGGAGAGGGGTCGGTGTTCGATGATCGAGGAGGGGGGGCATCGAGGATCGATGGTCCAGGGGATGCTTTGGGAGGAGGGAGGGGGAATGGGGAGGAAATCGAAGGGGAGGGGAGGGAGGGAGGGAGGATGGGGAGGCGGATGGGGGAACCACAGGTCGGCGCAGGAGGTGCAGCGAGGAGGTGGTATCAAGGTTCGATGATCGGGGTCGAGGGTCCTGGTGGGAAACGTACGACTCAAGCTCGCAGGACCTCGGGTTTGCCGAGGCTTGCTGACGATCCCGTCCTGCATTTTGACGGTCCAGCGTTCGTGGGATGTCTGCAGCGGGAGGTCGCATCAGATCTCAGCTTGGGTCTCGTCATCTTCCTGGCGACCCCGTCAGGCCAACCCGAGCCCCCCGAACCCGAGTCTCACGTGTCCCTGATGCTGGCCAGAGAGCAGCCCTGGAAAGGCCATTCGGGGGTCATGGAAGGGAAGAGAGCGGGAGGGCAGGGGTGATCGGGAGGGGGAGGGGGAGCAGCGAGGGAGGGGGGAGGAGCAGGGAATGACAGGGCGGAGGGGTAGCAGCGAGGCGGGGGAGCGGGAGGAGAGCTGGAAGGGAGGACGGAGAGTAAGTGGAGTGAGGAGAGAGGGGGGCGGCAGGTTGGAGGAAGGGGGGGAGGAGGGGAGACTTCTTTGGAAGGGCAAGGGGGGAGGTGTAGGGCTCCAGATGTGCTTCAAGGGGTTTCGGAACGGTTTGACGGTGTCTTAGGATGTTGCAGGGGTTCAGGTGGTTCGAGCATGAGGAGGCAGAGAAGGAGGAGGAGGCGGAGGAGGATGAGGAGGAGGAACGGATATGGAAGATGTGCCAGCGGTCTTAGATTGTTTCCCTACTGTTATCGGGGCTTTGCATAGGGTCTGGCGGTGTGGGTTGCTTTCTAGAGGTCCTCGGAGGCTTCCAGCGGTTTGTGGAGGCTCACGGACGTCTTCGAGAGGGAAGGGAGAGAGTGAGAGGAGGAGGAGGAGGAGGAGGAGGAGGAGGAGGAGGAGGAGGAGGAGGAGGAGGAGGAGGAAGAGGAGGAGGAGGAGGAGCTACGATAAGACAAGACGAGAGCGGACGGCATCCAAGAAACCGACCGCGGAGATAAAACGGAGACAGATTAAACCGACTCCTCATCCTCCCCCGCACCCCGACGGGCGGCCTGCAGCTCCCAGTACGGGAGCGAGCCCACCGTGAGGCCGAAGCGGGCGAGGAGGGGCCCTCGCCCCATGGGAACCTGCCACGGCGGTCCCCTGGGGAAAACGGCTCTGGAGGCGGGCGGCGACACTCTCGCCTGGGGACGGTCGAGAATGGCCCTCGCCAAGTCCAGGAGATCTCCTGGGACGGGCCTCTCGAGACAGCCTACCCTCCAGCCTTTGTACTTGCTAAGCCACCTGGGGAAGAGACCCGCGAGCAACCTCGAACGCTGCTGCTTGAGCCCCTTCCCCGCATTGTGACCGTGACATTCGCGGACAGCGAGCTCCCTGACCCCGCCCCACGCATAAGCCCCACACGAAATACAGCACACGATGCGTGGGGCGGAGACAACGGAGGCTCCCGTCTGATCAAAAACGTGGCATACACGCAGGTTGTGCTGAGATAGCCTCATCAAAATATTGAGCTCAGGGTCACACGGCCCCGCCTGGGCAGTGGCAGAAAGCACAGCCCTGAACCGCACAGACACGGGGGGAATGGGGCGCTCGAGGGGGCGGCCCTGGCGAGGGCCCGAACCAGGCACCAGGCGCTTATCAGGCAGGCCCTCCGAGTCCACCCATCCCCTCTCCCGCATCAGAAGCCCCTGCCGCCCAACCCACTGGCCCAACTCCCACCCCAAGAGTCTTAAACCAGCGATTTCACGGGCGGCCTGTTCGACCGATGGATGCTGACCTGCCCCTCGCTTCGCGAGGGCGTCGGCAATGGCGTTAGCCTTACGCTCCCAGTGAGTGGTGACACCTCGCTCCACATCACCCTCCGTGCAGTGGGCCTTCGTCTTATGGACCGCAAGCCCACCCTCGAAGGCCGCATGCACAGAGGTCCACATGTGAGCCTGGCCACAACGGGCACTCGTGGAGCGAACTCTCGACCTAGCACAGGAGATCGTGGCAGCACAATCGGTCCAAACACCCTCGGGGTCCAAAGCGATCTGGCCGAGCATCTGATACGCATAATCCTCGCCGTCCTTGGCGAGCTGGAGGGGAGCGACGTCCCACGGGACGGGGCCAAAAGCTCCAGAGATCATGGCACCAGTGTCATCGACCGAGATCACCGACACCCTGCTCTTCTCAGGAGCGGGTCCGAGGGGAAAATGGCCGAGCCGTCGGTAACATTTTTTCCAGACAGCAGGTCGTCTTCGGGCCTTCGAATCCAGAAGACCTGACACTTTTCGGACCTAAGCGGCGGGGGAACCAGCTCCCTGGGAGACGGGAAAATGCCCGAAGCAAAAAACTCCTCATTGTCTCCCCGCTGCCGAATTAGCTTGGCTGCAGCCAACGCTTCATCCGACAAGAAGAGGGAGCGATCAGCAGCCCACGCCTCGCAGACAAACCTACGGTGGAACGTGGTCCCTGGGGCCCCCATGCACAGCCTGCATAGGTTGCATGACGCCAAGCCGTGTCGCTGCAGGCGGTCCTGGGTCCAGTGGGTCCCCGAGACAGCCGCCCTGAGGGAATTCTTATGGGCCCTGTCCCAGTCAGAGTTTCTCCTGGCGAACAAAAAGCCCAGAGGCTGCCAAAACACAGGCCGACACCACGACGACGAACCCTCACGAGCCTCCAGGGCACGAAAATCCGACATCTCTCTGGCAGCCTGCTGGGCAAGAGTGGCAACGGTCGACGGCGAGAGCCTGAGCAGGTCTATCTGCTCGCCCGTCGAAAGCACTATGAGGCGCGCCGATCTCGCTTCCCATCCCAGGTCCCCCCAAGCAATCACAAACACGTGAGCAGGGGACGTCGCCCTCGACCACGGGCGACTGGTGGTGGCAAGCGATCGGACGGCATCCTCAAAAACCGCCTGTAGGATCGTTAAGCTGGGGAGTCCGTCCCAGACAGCCCGAGCCCACTCGAACACAACCTGCTTGAAATGCAACGGCACGGGGTCCATGGTCCTACCCTGCTTAAACGTGCGGAGTTTTAAACCCACAGACGCCCCCTGCTTCGCAGGAGCCAGAGACAAGAGGGCCTGCGTGAGGATCCTTTTTAACTGAGACCAAGGAAGCCCTCTCACCGAGGCCCCCCACAAAGCCGAGGCCTGAGGGCCCGCCCTCTGGATGTGCCCCACAAAGGCCCCAGCGCGCCTCAAAGAGCGGAGGCGCGACGACCTACGCATGCAAGTCTTGACCCTGTTGGAGGCTATGGGGGCCAACCTAGAAGAGCTCACCTGCCAATCGGTCCCCAGACTCCTAATCACAGCCTTCTTCTTGAAGGACGCCTTCCACGCACTGCCCAGCCCTTCAGCAACCCCTTTCGATGACGCAAGGACCTGTGATTTTTTCTCCGACAGCACAAGACGCAGCCTGCGCAGGCCCTCGATCAGCTTGCCCCCGACGCCGCCCAGCTCCTTGACGACGTGGAGGCTCGTGCCGACGGACTGCGCGCTGATGTCATCAATCACATTCCTCACCATCGACGTCGGGTGCTCGCCCTCCACCGTGGTGAGCAGGCGGAACAGCAGGACTCTCGCCAGGGACGTCGCGAGCGAGCAGCCCGCAAGCACCGTGCCTGAGGCGTGGAAGACCTCTGAGACGCAGCCGCTGAAGGACACCGCACGCGGCCCCGAGTAAAGCGAGCATGCCGCTCTACAGAGCCTGGTCGAGAACTTCACCGCCCCCGCCTCTGCGAACAAAACTGCGTGACATATACGCTCGTAAAACTTATCTAAGTCCGTGGCCAATGTAGCTGACTGCATGCCCCTGCTGCGTGCAAAGTGCGCCATGGTCTGGTGCGCCCAGCCAGCTCTATCGCATTCTCGATCTCGCACTCCCCAGAAGACTCCAGCAGCGTGTTGGTCCTCCCAGAGCTTGGCCTCCTCTCTCCGCACCTTGCCCCAGACCCTGAGGATGGAGCAGATGAGGGCGATCGGCCTTGCACCTGAGCCGTCAGGTTTGCCCAAGAAGACCATCAGAGTCGGCCATCTGTCCGAGAGCTGCGGGTCGGCCTCCCGCATCTCCATGAGGTCCACCAGCCTCTCCATGAAGTCGTCCTCGAGCAGGTCGAAGGAGCGCGGGTTCACGCAGTCCACCCCGCAGCCCACCAGGTGGGGGAAGGAGCGGCACACCGCACGAACTCGCTCCGCTGACGGCCTGGGCAGCTCATCTCTCTGCGCGACTGCTGCCTGGATCTGTGAGATGCTCTCCTTGGCGTCCCCCCAGTACTGCAGCCAATCCGCGTGCATTGCCTGCACTGCAGCATCTCCTTGCAGCGCCCAGCCCTCAGGAGCCGCTGGCCCTTTCACCTGCGGCAAGTCCTTCAGGTACCTGTGAGCACGACGGCCACCAGCTTTCACCGCGGACTGGGCCCACTCTCTCCACTCCTGCAGCTGTACCTTTGCCGCCGCCTGGGACGCCTCCAGCGCCGCTTGGTGGACGTTGGTCGCCAGGGTGGCCAGGTCCTCCCCACCCGCTTCCGCAACGCTGCGCAGCGAGTGCAGGTCGAAATCCACGCCCTTGACCCCCGTCAGCAGCGACAGGTCGAGGTGGTCCAGCTCCTCCAGCAGGTGGCGACGGGTATCGCCTCTGGCACGTCCCTTGCGCCCATGCAGCCCTCCGACCTGGCCCCTGAGACGCTCCCCTGGTTTAATGCCTTGGCCACCTTCACGGCCCAGGGGGTCTGCAGTAACCAGGTCTGTCGACGATTGGACCTCAGCACCAGCCAGCGGCGTGGGCCCCGAGTGCGGCGACGTGTAGTCAGGCAGGATAAAGCCCATGGAACCCAGGGAAAGCGACGGGCCCTCGGTGCTGAGCCCAGCAACGCTGGGCGCCGCTGGCCACTCCCCCGTGTGCTCCTCTCGCCGAGCGCAGGCCCCACTTGAGCCCGTTGAGGACGGCTGAACAACTGCTTCCTCGCTGGCTCCAACGGTGTCGTCCTGGAGCGCATGGAACCTGGATAGAATAGCATCCAGCGACCTCCAGGCTCGCATCTGAGCCCCACTGCCAGAAAGCACCGCCTTCTCCATCGACGCGGCGAGAGGCACCTGCCGCCGCTCGAACCTGTCGGCTCGACCGACGAAGCCTCTCTGCCCAGCACCGACGATGTCGAACTGGTTGCACAGCTCCAGCTCCATGTTGCTTAGCCACTGGCACCACGCATCTTCCAGCCGAACGCCTGCGGGCTCCCCTGCGGGCCAGGACCAGCAGTGCTCTGCAGGCTCCCGCACAGGCCCCGTCCTCTGGGAGGCGGGGAAGGGCTTCCATGTCCTGCGAACATGCAGCGGTATATTCAGAGAAGGGCCCTTGAGCTGCATGGCAACTGCGACGTGAGGCGGCGAAGGGGTACCGTATACCGCGCGTACATCACTGACAAAGTTGGCAAGCCCCTGACTCACTATGTAGTAGTCGATCGTGGACCCTGACTTGGACGCAAAGCAAGTCGGACCACTTGGGGCCACGATCGTGCCTTTGAGGAGCTCAACCCACTTGCACAGCTTGATATCTTCTGGCGGCAAGTTGAAGTCCCCTGCGAGCATCCACGGTGACCTGGACCGACGCAGGAACACTCCCAAATCCTCCAGCATATCCCAAGTGAAAACCTTGCCAGATGTGTCCACAAAGCCGTAGACCGAGCCCAGCAGCAGGCCGTGGGGGACGGCGAAGTTGGCACGAATCAGCTTCAGCCTCGAGAAATAGCCTGACTGCGCGCCGAGGTGCTTGAGGCTCAATCCTGCGAAAGCAATGTGGGACGCGACTGCCGTCAGAACTCCCCCTGACGACTCCGTGGCAAGCTGACCCGTGGACTTCGCCCTGCCGAAGGCCCCGTGATAGCCTCGACCTCGGAGCCAGCCTGCCGCACTATGAACTTTGGTGAGATCTTTCAACCGATGTTCCTGTCCAAAACACACATGGGGCCGAGCGCTGTCCCCCCAACTCCTCTGCCAATCCAAGCAGCCCTGGAAAGAGCTCCATGCACTCGAGTTGACCGTCCACAGCCTCCACAGCTGCTGCTCCCGCTGTGGCCGCGCCGCCTTGCTAAAGCCCCTGCCTGCGGCGCTTGACCCCAAGGGCCTCCTGGGCTTGCAGAAGCTGCCGCTTGGCGTCCGCCTGGGCTTCGGCCCCTTCAGCAGCTCGCAGGGCCTCTGCGGCGGCTCGGAACGCCTCCGCTCGAGCTTCGAAGTCGTCCCCGTTGAGCTGCTCCATGTCGATGTCGTCATCTCCCGCGGCCACGTCGCCGCCAGGAGGCTCAGCAGCAGCAGGAGGATGATCGGGCCCCCCTTGCGAGGGCCGCCCGATCTTCGCGAGGATGATCGGCTTGAGTATCTCCCACTTATCCGACCCGAGGAATGCCTGAACATCAGGATCCTGTGTCTCCTCCGGCTTGATCTCCAGCTTGAACATGTCCGACGGCTTCGGCTCCCCGTCTGACTGCGCAATGAGAGCAGCCGTCCTCTTGTACTCCTCGTCGAGCTTGTCGATCTCGAGCTTCTTCGCCTCCAACTGCAGCCTGCGCTCGTCAATGGACTCTTGCAGCTTCTGCACCTGCGAGGTCTTCTCCGCGATCTCGGCCTCCATCTTTGCAGGGGCCAAGCGGGCCTTGTGCAAGTCCTGGGCCGTCCTGCGATGCGCAATCGCAGGCGTGCGCAGCGCCTTCTGCTGCTCCCTGATGCTCTTGATCTTCTCGATCGTCGCTGCACGGATGGGGTCTGCGTCGGGCCCAGGAAGACTCTTGAGCACCGTCTCGTACTGCCCCAGCAGCGCAGTGAGCTTCTCTCGCTTGACCTTCTCATCGTCCGACTCGAGCAGCGGGCCCATGTCCGACGACGGCTTGGAACCCTGGGCCCACGGAGCCACTGTCGGGCTGGCAGCAGGCGGCGGCTCCCCCTTGCTGCAGAACGACCTGATGAGCTTCTCCATCTCCGCGAGCCTCTTGCTGGTGTCATCCTTGCCTTTGCTCTTCGAAGGAGGCGCCCCCGACTGACCAGCAGGCAAGGCAGCTGTCGCCGCCTTGTGGGCCCTCCAGGCCTCGTTCCTGATCCGAAGCGGCGCCTCATTCCCACACTGACAACGAATGCGAGATGCCCAGTTCGCCGCCGTTGAGCACCTCCCGCACGCCCAGAAGGGCCGCCGCGGCCCACGGAGCACCGTGGGTGGGGGCGGCGGCTCGGGCGCCATCGCTGCACCTTCCTCGTTGTGAAATTCTGCGCTCTCTTGGAGCGACTCACGATCAGCCAAGTTGGCTCGCTGCAGCGGCGCCGTTCTGAAGACAGCTGCAGCAAGCCCAAACACCTGGGCCAGAACGGCTAGGAGGAGGAGGAGCAGGAGGATGAGGAGGAGCAGGAGGAGGAGGATGAGCAGGAGGATGAGGATACTGTTGATGGTGATGCTGATGAGGATGATGGGGAGGAAGAGGAGGAGAAGGGGTCGCAAGTGGAGGAGGATGAGGAGGAGGAGGAGGGGGGGAGGAACAGGAGGAGCCGAAGGAGAGTGAGGAGCAGGAGGAGGGGGAGGAGGAGCCCTCGGGAGTTGTCACCTGCTATCGCACATATCATTCGATTATTCGGCAGTCCTCTCTGGGCTTGGGTTTTTCCTCACATGTTTCGTGGGGTTCTGGTTTTCTTCCCTGCCGCGTCGCACCCGCGTCTCACACCCGCACACACCTCCCTCTCCCGCAAAGCGTGGCAGACGTGACATGCAGACATACATACGCAGGCACACCGACACAGACACACAGACACACATACACACAGACACGACCACACATACACATACACTCCCTCACCCACGCGCAACACCTGCACGGCACGTACATGAGACACGCGTAGCACACTTCACAACACAGCGCAGCGCAGCACAACACAGCGCTGCTTAGGGGGTGCGCAGAGGGTGGTCCCTCACCGCGGCCGCTATGCACGACGGTCGTCCAGGGCATAGCAGGCGTGGCATTTTCTCGACACCATTGAGGGTGCGCAGGGGGTGGTCCCTCACCGCGGCCGCTATGCACGACGGTCGTCCAGGGCATAGCAGGCGTGGCACTTTCTCGACACCCATAGGGAGTGCGCAGGGGGTGGTCCCTCACCGCGGCCGCTATGCACGACGGTTCGTCCAGGGCATAGCAGGCGTGGCGCAGGCCCTTTGCACGACGTTCTCAGGCCATTTCTCGACACCATAGGGGGTGCGCAGGGGGTGGTCCCTCACGCGGCCGCTATGCAGACGGTCGTCCAGGGCATAGCAGGCGTGGCACTTTCTCGACACCATAGGGGGTGCGCAGGGGGTGGTCCCTCACCGCGGCCGCTATGCACGACGGTCGTCCAGGGCATAGCAGGCGTGGCATTTTCTCGACACCATTGAGGGTGCGCAGGGGGTGGTCCCTCACCGCGGCCGCTATGCACGACGGTCGTCCAGGGCATTGCATAGCATGGCAGGCGTGGCACTTTCTCGACACCATGCAGGGTGCGCAGGGGGTGGTCCCTCACCGCGGCCGCTATGCACGACGGTCGTCCAGGGCATGGCAGGCGTGGCATTTTCTCGACATCCGTTTCGGGCTCGCAACGTTTGTCAGGCGTGGCACCTTCTCGATGCCACAAGGGGGTGCGCTGGGGGCGCGGTCGCTATCCGTTTCGGCCTCGCAAAGCGTGGCAGGCGTGGCATTTTCTCGACGCCACGGGGGGTGCGCTGGGGGTGTGGTCGATATCCGTTTCGGGTTTGCAAAGCGTGGCAGGTGCGGCAGCCTCTCGACGCCGAAGGGAGTGCGCTGGGGGTGCGGTCGCTACCCGTTTCGGGCCCGCAAAGCGTGGCAGGCGTGACACTTCTTCGACGCCACAGGGGGTGCGCTGGTGTGCAGGCGTTGCACTCCCTCGACGCCGCAGGGGACGCCTTGGGGGTGCGGCCGCTGCCCGCTTCGGGCTCGCGGCGCTTCTCCTCGCCACCTCTCCTCTTGACATGCGTCACCAACGGTATCGGCGGGGCAGCGGCCACCAGCAGGATTCTCACATGCTTCATTTCAGCTACCATCACTCCAGCCATACTATGAGTATGGCGGGCTCCTCGTTAGCGTAATTGTTGGACTATTTTCGAGAACTGTTTTTGTGGGGAGCGTATTCTAAGTATTCGTCCACAGTCCGCCTGTAGGGGGACATGCCCGACCTAAAACCAGTTTCGTTGTGCTCCACCGTCTGGCCGGGATCTTCGGCCGTTCGTACACACCTTGCGGCGGCCCCCGCGCGTTCTGGTGCCCGTGCCGCGGGGTTCTGCAGCGGCCCCGCGGGCGCTGCGCCTCGGCCCGCCTCGGCGTTTGTGGCACCCTCGAGGCGGCCCCCGAGGCGCGACGGGAGAGCGCGGTGGACGTAGAGCAGGTTTTTTTGGGCCAGGCGGGGCTCATTGCTACTGCATTCGTATTACTATTATTCTTACTCGTATTCTTATGATTCGTATCATGTGGCATTAATGGTTAAAACCCCTTCAGATTCGCATCGTTGTTATGTATGGATGTATGCATTCCTTGATTTATTGATTCGTCGATTTACGTATTGTTCTTTCGTGTTGTTATTTTTACTATCACCGTCCGTATTTCTAATAGTGTCATTCGTTGTATCATTATTGATGGTATTAATCATATTACTACACATTATGTTTATCATTCATCGTCTCATCATCATTGTCATGGTGATCGTTATTTCAGGTATTTTTTCGTGGTATTTTCATCATGATTGGTAGTAATCTTAGTGTTGATCGTATTCCGAGAACAAAAGCGAGGTGCGGACCCGTCGTGGTGTCGCTGGCGGCGGTGGTGCTGCTCTTCGGGGGCGCGGGCTTCCACGCCTCCGCGGCGGGCTCGCTGCGGCACTGCGGGCCGCGCCCTCGGCGCTCGGCGGAGAGAGCGGCGGTCGACGGCGGGGGCATGTGACGATGGGCGTGTGCGTTCACCTTCGCCTTGTCTCATGCTGCTCCTCCTCATCCTCCTTGCCCTCCTCCTCCCTGCTCTCCTCCTCCTTCTCCTCCCCGCCTCCTCCTCCTTCTCCTTACCCTCCCCCTCCTCCTACTCCTTGTCCTCCTCCTCCTTGCCCTCCTCCTCCTCCTCCTCCTCCTCCTCCTCCTCCTCTCCACCTCGTCCGTAGCCATTTTGGCTCGAGATGCACTTTGCCGGTGGCAGAGCACGGGTGCCGCCAGTCCGCGGCAGGCAATGGTTGTTCAGCCTGGCACCCGTAGTCAGCCTCCACCGCGGGAACTGGGCTCCGGCATCTGCAGCCCCCGCCCCTCTCCCAGCCTGCGAGCTCCTGCTGGAGCCCATCGCCATCGCTACGGCCGTCCCCGCCTGCTTCTCGTGGGCAGCGTCGTCGGGAGCATGATGACAAGTGCCGTCGTGACGACTCGTCCAGCCCTTCCTTGATGGGCCGATCTTCCACCACCACTTCCATAGGTAGGAGAGGGGTGGGGGAGGAGGGGAGGAGGAGGAGGAGGAGGAGGAGGAGGAGGAGGAAACATAATACTACGAGTAGTAATAAGACAATAAGACGAATACGAAGAGTACGGACAATAATACAAATATTCAGAATACTGATAATACGAACGCCCAAAATACCAATGATACTAGTAATACCATTAATACTACGAGTAATAACAATACTACTGATAACAATGATCGTACCAATAAGAATAAGTTTGATACTCGTACAAATACTGAACATAGTATTAGTATGAATAATACTACCAATCATACGAAGCGATAATACTAAAAACAATAAGAATAAGCAGAGGAGGAGGAGGAGGACGTGGAGGAGCAGGAGTAGAAGGAGGGGGAGGAGGAGGAGGAGGAGGAGG